GGAGCTAGGATAGGTAGATGCTAACATGCTGCATTTCGATTTCTAGAAAGCACTAAATTTTCAAAAGTTCATAAAGATGTATGTCTGCATCTATGTATACGTAGGTTACACCACTCCATTCCCAAACGGTTCAAGGACACTTCCAGTGGTGTAGTCAATTCAATCAGATAAAACATGAAAAAGTAAGGATATTGGAGCAATGAAACAAAGGTCATGTTTAATATATAAAGTGAAAGCTTTCGTTGGTAGAGGTGGGTCACAACATTAGGCTTCCTGGGAGTCACAGTAAAAGTGCAAACTTGGTCAGTTCCACAGCGTCCGGACTCATGGCGACCTTAAGGTAAAGGCAAATGGGTGGCCCGGGACAGTATAGCTTTTCTTGATTAATGAGACTTTGGGGGATATTTAAAAATAATTTTATTGATTGATTTTTGGAATAGTGAGAGAGAGAGAAACATCGATTTGTGGTTTCACTTATTCATTCATTGGTTGCTTTTATGAGCTGCGACTGGGGATTGAACCCGCAATCCTGATGTGTCTGGACAACAAACGGAACTACCTGGCCAGGACCCCGGGATGTTCTTGTCCCATTCTCCCAAGGAGGGTGCTGTAGGAATGTCTGGCCCACATTTTCAATACCTTACAGACAGTTACTGCAGTTGAGTTTGACATGGCTGATTTTCTGAAATGTCCTTCAATAAAGGAAATTCTTGAGAGGCCCTGTCTAAATAAAGGTAGGGAGGCACTACAACATAAGGATTCACTGTGTGAGACTGCTGTCCGAATATCTGAGTTCAAATCCTGATTCAGGCTTTTGCTGGGAGTCTGACCTTGGGCAATTTCCTCGCCTCTTAGTTATTTCAACTGCTAGGTTCACTCATGGAGGGACTGATGGAGATGTCATTTACAGGCGTGAGAGTCGGGAGGGAGAGAGGGTATGCAATGAATCAGGCTGAGCAGCAGCAGGCAGGTCTCCAGACCCGCTGCGGTGGGTCTTGCAAGAAAATTAATAGTCAAGCAGTGGAAAATTAAAGGAAAAGAAAGCACTCCGTCAGTTCTGAGAGTCACATTTTCATATGTTTAAAAGCGGGCACACTGAGAAATGGATGGCATGCCACAGCCACTTTGGCAGCGTTGTTTTTCTTTCTGGGTAGGATATTGAATGATGGTGTATATTTCAATTTATAACATTTGAGGTTCAATGCAGCTCGGTCGTGATCATTATTCTAAGAGACCGGCTTTTCTCGGGGGCAGACGAGGTCTGTGTGGAGAGGTGGAATAGTCCCTCAGAAGTTCTGGCAATCCAGGAGGCCATGGCTGGCTGGCTGGGTTCTGGCGAAGAAGGTGTTCAGCAGACATATGGACCTTCCATTTTAAAAGCATGCCTTCTTCTCTAAGTCCCTCATAGTGA